GGCTGCCCCGCCTCAGCTTGCCGTCGATCTCCAGCCGCTGCTTGAGCAGTGAGTCCTTCTCCTGCCGCAGGGCGTCGATCTCCCCGCGGATCTGCTGCTGGTCCTGGGCGCTGCCCTGCCGCAGCTGCCCACTCTTCTCGGACAGCGCCTTCTCCAGGTGCTCCAGGCGGCTGCACACCCGTGCGATGTCCTCGTTGAGAGCCTGGGGCGGCACAGCCAGGGAGGCCCCCGAGGAGGGAGTGTGACTAGTCACTGGGGCTCGCCGTGGGGTCCCGGGACGCGCCCAGGCCCTCTGGGAGCTTGGCGTGGGGGCCTGTGTGGGCTCAGGGCGCTCCGGTGCCAGAGGGGTCCCTCCCCGGCACGCACTCCGGCGGCAGACCCTGCGCCCCGTGGGAGCCCCTGGGCTGCAGGGCGGGTGGGGCACCTGGCCAGGCCTCCCTCCCAGAGCGGGGTTCTGGCGGGGCAAAGTGGACCACAGGTGGGAACCTGGGAGGACCCGGCCCCACGTCAGAAGCGCAGCGCGAGCCCTCGAGTTATGAAGGCAGCGTCACCGCCCTGGCAGGGACGCCGCCAGAAGGGCTCACCCGGCGGGGACATCTCGGGGGCCTCACCTGGCTGGAGCGCAGGCGCTTGCTCTCCAGCCCCGTCCTCTCCTGCACCAGCGCCTCCTTCTTGGCCAGGATGGCCTCGCGCTTGCGCAGCTCCTGCCCCAGCCCCTCCAGCGCCCGCCGCTGCTGCAGGACCTTCTCCATCTCCTGGTCCAGCCACTTCTTCTGCTCCTCGATCTTCTGCGGGGCGGCGGGGCACTCAGCTCCTCACCTCTGACCGCCGGGCCCTGAGGCCGGTCGGGAGCCAGGTGCCCGCCCGCAGACCCGCGCCGGCACCTGCTGCTGCTCCAGGCTGAGCACCGAGCCGTTGCTGCCGCTGCGCCGCTTCCTCTGGAAGGCCGCGATCTCCTCGGTCTTGATCTTCAGGATCTTCTGCTGCTGCTCGTGCTTCAGCTCCAGCTCCTGCGGACGCACGCACAGGCGGGGGCTCAGGCCAGGGCCGGGGCGGCCGCCCCACTGGCCGGGGCAGCAGACGCGGAGCCTTCCCAGGCCCTCGCCCCGACTTCTGGCTGCTCCCTCCCGGCGACGAAGCCACGCCGCGGAACGGCCGGCCCCGCCCCACGCGCCCGCCCCGCCCCACACCAGCCGCCGCCAGCGTGACCTTGACGCGGTGCTGCCGCCGGCTCATCTCCGCCTCCAGGCGCCGCTTCTGCTCCGTCTCCGCGCGCAGCCGCCGCTGCAGCTGCCCCTGCTGCACGCGCATGCGCTGCACGCTCCTCTCCAGCTCCTGCAGCCGCTTCTCGCTCTGCGCCGACAGCGACGCCAGCCGCTCCGTGGCCTGCTGCTTCTCCCGCAGCGCCTGCGGCCCACAGCTCTGCTGGCACCGGCCTGCCCTCGACCTCGGCGCGGGCCGCGCGGCCAAGGGGTGTGGACAGGGGCCGGACGGGCCACCAGGCTCGACGTCCTGGGCTCCGTGGCCTGCAGCGGCCCCAGCGAAGCTGAGCGCATGCAGGCATGACTACCCGACTCGAAGGCTGGGAAACGGAAGCAGAGGACAGCAGCCCGGGCGGGGACACCCAGCTGTGAGTAGCAGGGCTGGGGGCCACAGCCTGAGCTCGCCGGTCAGCGTCCCCAGGGACGCCGGCCTGGGAGGGCCGCGTGACGTGCTGTGGCACAGGCGTGCGACGGTGAAACCAGATGCGCGTGGGTCAGTGACAGGGGCTGGGAAGACGCGGCAGAGGCCGGACACGGCTATTCACGTCAACTGGGGAGGAGACGCGTGGGCAGGTAGGCAGGGTGGACACCTGGCAGGGCACGTGTGGGGGGGGAGAGGGGCGGCACCTGCCCGCCTCTCCTTGTCTCCTGGTGGTCTCTGGCGAACCCGCCTCGGCTGAGCCCACCCAGCAGCACTGCCAGGGAGGCCTCGTCCGCAGAGGCCGGGAGGCGTCCGCACCAGCGGCCAGGGGCTGAGCACAGGCCTGGCCCCAGCTCTAGGGTCCTGTGAGGGAAGCCCCCGCCCCGCACTGACCTGCACCTGGCTCTGGGCCGCGGCCACCCTCTTGCGGAACTCCTGGAGCTGGGAGCGCTGGCCGGCGTCGTGGGGCCCCCTGCCCTCCAGCTCCCGCAGCTGCCGCTGCCCCTCGCTCAGCTCGGCCCGCACCCGCTCGGCCTCCTGCTCCAGCTCCCGGATGCGCTGGCTGTGCTGGCGGTTCAGCGCCTGGGCCGCCTTCCCTGGGGGCGAGGGGGTCCTGTGGCACGGTGGCCCCTCCCCAAGGGACCCACTCCCGCCCACAAGGCCTTGCCACGGCTCTGCACCGCTGCTCCTTCGACCCCTTCACACTCTAGACCTGGTCTCGGTGGCAACCAGGGCAACTGCAGGTGAACAGTCTCACCTGACAGGTGTGGAAACAGCCTAGGGCTGTGTCTCTAAGCCTTGAGAAGCACCATCTGCTCTGGGCAAACCCAGAAGCTGGGGCCTGGGACACCCTGCAGGGTGCTGAGGCGTGAGGGGGAGTGAGCCGGCCGCGCTAGCTCACAACCGGAACGCGGGGCACGGCAGGACCTGACCAGCCCAGGGCGTTCGGCAGGGAAGGTGCAGGGGAGGTTGCCTGGGGCCTGCTCCGGAATGTTCCAGCAACAAAAGGAGCCATGAGACAGAGGAGGGGACATCTTGGGGATATTCACATGGGCAGCGCAGCTCTGAGGGCACCACGCTGTTCTGGCCTGTCCACTTGGACATTCTCAACGTGCTGCGTGGGACCTTGGTGCTCTCAGAATCGGGGTCACTGGTCACCACCTCGGCACACCTCTGGCCCCTTCACAGGGTCTGGGTCACCACAAGCAGGTTGAGCAATTTGGGGCACTGAGTCTTGGTCACGCCCCTGTGTGCTCCCCAGGACCAAGCAGGCCCAGCAGGCCTGGCACCCAGCAGGCACCGGGCGGCGGCCCCACGAGGGGGAGTGGCCCCTGGAGCATGTAAGCGCCTGCCCGAGTCGCCGCCTTCCGTGCTCCCAGCAGCCCCAGGCAACAGGTGCGCGCGCACGCCCCGGGGGGTGAGAGCCTGAGGCGGACGGTGCTGCCCCTCGCTCAAGTCACACTGGCTCGGTCAAGCACGGGGGTCCAGCCAGCACCCCCGCCCCCACCGGGGTGCTAGGGACCCCGCACCTGTGCGGACCAGCTCCCCGATGAGCTCCTCCTTCACGCGGATGTTGATGGCCAGCTCCCGGATCTTCCGCTGGGCTTGGGCCAGCCGCCATTCAGAGGCCGTGGCAGCAGGGGCCTGGCTCCCACAGACCCCTGGAAGGGCCAACTGTCAAGGCCACCACCCCAAACGGCAAGGGAGGGAGGGGTGGCGGGGCAGAGGCACTTGGGACCGCCCCAGCCGGGCCGCGGCAGGAGGGAGTGGGCCTCTCTGGGCCTCCAGCGCACCTCTGGGCCCTGGGATGGCAGCACCCAGCTCCTCCAGGCATAGCTCTGTGCCCTTCTGGCGTGAGGGGCTCTGCGGGGGGGCCCCCACTCTCTGGTTCCACTTGCTGATTCCGTTTCTGGAGGAAGAATCAGGAGTCTGCTCCCCACCCAGCCACTCTGGGTCCAGGGTGGGCAGGGGAGACCTTCCGCTTTCCCTCCCCTAGGGGGTCAGCGAACCCTGGGTGCTGGTGTGGCAGGACTCTGAGGTCAGGGCCCCATTTGTAGGCCGCGGGGGGCACGCGGTCACCCTGGCCGAGGACCGGGGGCCTGGCTGAGAGCGCCTGAGCCCGAGCGCAGGCCGTCCTGCTCCCCAGGGCCCGCCGCGCACTGCCGCTGGGGCCCCTCACCTGCGCAAGTGCAAGGCCCGCGGGGGCCCCTCCTCCTCCTCCTCCTCCTCCTCCTCCTCCGAGGCGGCCGAAGACCCGCTTCCCTGCCTGTCTCCCTCCACCTGCACGGTGGCTGCCTCCCCGCCGGCTGTCACCTGTTGGAGCCGCAGGGCTTCAGGCCAGGAAGCCTGGGGCAGTCCTGGGGGCGCCTGCTTGCATGCCCCCCAACCCCCGCCTCCTCCGAGGCTTGGGCTCGAGGCACTTGTGGACAGCCACCCCAAACCCAGGTGGGAGCGAGCGCTTGCCCCGCCCGGCCCGAGCAGCTGGCCTCGAGGCGGTGAGACCACGTGGCGTGAGGAGCCAGGCCCTCCGCGCCCCTCTGACCGCCGCACGGGCGGCCTCCAGCTAGCCGGGGGTGCCGAGGCACTGGACCCTCCCAGACGCCCGCAGTCACCCTCCTGGGGCGCCTCCCGCGGACACCCAGCCCCCTGCTGCCTCACCTCGCCCCAGCTCTCAGGGCCGGCTCCGTCCTCGGGGCGGCCAGCCGAAGGCGCCACGCCCAGCACGTGGGCATGGGCGCTCCCTGAGGGGGCTGTGTGGGGCCGGGGCACGAAGGCGCGGGGGGGCAGGCCCCGCAGGAGCCCGGGGGCCCCCCAGCCAGGCCGCACCAGCTCCAGCCGCAGCCGCAGCTCCGCCATCTCCTCCTGCTGCGCACGCAGCCGGTCGCTCTGGAAGACACGAGCGGCCGTGGGGAGACCACCCGGCTGGGCCGCCCCCGCACCCGGCCAGGGCGGAGTTCTCACCGCCCCACGCTGAACCCCCGCCCCATGCGGGTCCTCCCACCCACGCCAACCGCTGCCCCGAAGGGCCGCCAGGAGCCGTGCTGACCCGTCCTGGGACAAGACAGGTTCTGGGCCCAGAAGCTGACCTGGCCTCCCCCGCCCACACGCCGCCCTCCCCAGCCCTCCTGCCCCACCCAGCGCCTCGCGCCCACACTTGCCTCTCTGCGCCGCCCGGGCGCTGCACCCTGCCCAGCCCCAGCCCCAGCCGCAGACCCCTCCAGGGGAGGGGCAGCCCCACCTGCAGTTTGTACTGCTCCATGGCGTCCTCCAGCGCGGCCAGGAAGTCCCGGTTTTCCTCCTCCAGGTGGGCCACCTGGCTCTGCAGAGCCAGCAGCTGCAGAGCCCCCTCGTCTTCCTGTGGGGCAAGGAGAGGGCTTCAGAGACAGGCCAGCCTGTGTCCCGCGACGCCTGGTCCCCTGCCCTGCCAGGGGAGCCCCGACTCGGTCTGGGCGAGACCGAGGCAGTCCCGTGACCGAATCCTGACGGTGCTCAGCCGATGGGGAGGGCGCAGGCCTGCAGCAGCTGGGTTGAAAACCACCTGCCCCCTCCCTCCCCAGGGCCCCCCCCACCGCCCGC